TTGGAATGGTTTTAAGCTGACGGGCACTCAGCTCGCGCTGGGGTACAAACGCTGCCATCCATCCTCACTCAGCGGAGAGCAGCTTGACAGCAGGTACCGTATTGCTCCCTTTCTATGTTTGCAAGTGCACAGGAAAAGTTTGATGGGCATTTGGAAAAGTTTGTTGCTGCCGTAGATAAAAATATCCCAAGGAAGTTTTTAGAACTTTGCAATAACATTGTTAACACAGATGCTGGTGTACAAAGTGAAAGCAGTCAGCTGCAGACAAACTTTTCTCATGAGTCTGGCTTTTATTTTAGCTGTGTCAAGTCTATAAATTAGGAATCTCTGGAAGATACTTTCTGTGACTGCACAGTACCAGATTGAATGGGATCAGCTGAAAGAGTTTTCACTGAGTAGTGCCAAATTTATGGCACATATGGGACCTGTTTGTGTTAAAAGTATATCTAAAAATGTGTGTGTTTTCTCTGGAATTAGGAAAACTGTCTTGAATTTGGATGTCAGTATATTCTGAGCATTTTGATAGAAAAGATAGAATTTTTAAAAAATCACTAAAATATGAAAGCTCTGCTTTCTATACACCACTTGATGATTATATTGGATAATCCTTTTTTGGAAGGAGGATTAATTAGTGGTGGAGTAGAGGAAGATTTTTACTTTGGGCTGAGTTCAATTCAGATAAGAGAGTGGGCTGCCTGGTTGCCCAGTGGCTTAAGTACTGCCAGTGGCTTAAGTACTTTGGAATGAAGGTCCCCAAAAGCGTTCTCCAGACTGCCTGTGGCTGAGTGGGGCAAGGGCTTGCTGCTACCCCACGCAAGAGCTGCCTTGCAGAGTGGATACTGGGGCTTTCTCTGGTTTCTTGAAGCAACAAGGAAACTCCTCATTTGCAAGCTCCTTTGCCTACGGTGTACTCCCCTTTTCCCCTTGCCTTCCATGAAGTGGCTTGACAAGGGTAATATCATTCAGCAAGCCGCTTACTGCATAATAAAGGTTGTTTTGTAGCCAGCTGCTGAGGAGACTCAGCCCTGAGTTCCATCCTGCACTTAGTCTATAGTGCTCTTCTATCAAAAACAGGCAGTTAGTGACAAGTAATTGCACCTCATCCTGAATATTTCCAGCTTCATTTATTTCAGCTGTCACTGGGGCATTTCCTACATGTGTGTAAAAGATGTCTGAGGTGTACTCCAGTATCTTTCCTAGACAAACCTGGGATGCAGCAAAGATACAAATCCAGATGCAGGGAACTGAGTGTCCATAGACAATGCTGGGCCAACACTGATGCTTGCAAATACATGTTTATACCTGTGGAACACCTGTATTCACACCTGATGTGAATATCACCTTCCCTCCAGGATTCTAAGCATAGAAATCTTAATTTCTCTATTGAAGCTTATAGCTCAGATGAATAATATGTATTTCGGACAGTGTAAGAACTGTTAAAAAAATCCAAGTAGCATGAATACATAACACAAATACTTCCTTAGATATTAGATAGATATTAACTAAACTACCAAATGCTACCATTTCTGGAAAACAAAATGTTAAGCCAACACAATTAATAAAATTGAGATATTTGGGATAGCTCCATGTTGTGTTGCCAAGCACTGGATAAATTCAAAGAGTCTATTTGACCACGGTCATTTGGCCTTTGTCTTAAATCCTTTTAACAGTATTTCTCATCCTGACTGTAAAACAGAAAGTCCCAGAGAATGCTTTGTAGAAAGCTGTTCTGATGTGGGGGGAAAGGTAAAGGAGGAAAAGTCTAAGTTAGAATGTAAGTCTGATAAAAGAGGACACAAATTCAGTGTCCTCTGTGAAAGTCATCCTCCTTGACAGAGGATGACTAGCATTTCTCTCTGTAGAAGATCCCTCTTCTACAAGCCTGAAAGGAAACTTGGCACATTCTGTGAGGAAACAACAAGCTATTATTGCCTCTACAATTACAGAAAAAAATGATGTAGAGGACTGCATTTTGAATAGATCTTCTCTTCCTTTCTGACTGAGTAGCATTTTTCATATAGTGCAGTCATGCAACAAAAGAGAATTATTTTGCTATCTTAAGTGTTTTTTTTCTATATAAATGAGCAAGATTCCTCTAAGAAGTGAAGGTGTCCTATCAATAACAAATAACAACAATGCTTTTACTCTTCTTCATTTAGGGCTTTATCTAGGTCAAATGAAGTAAAGAAGATAGGGACAACATTAAAGGGCTTTTAAGTTTTTTATCCATTCTCATTGTAATGACTAATAGGAAAATTCAAATATGACAATGTTGTTTCACTTGATTTTAGAGGATCTCAAAGCACCAGATGAAGAAATGATCTGGCATCTAACATCTTACTGGTAAGAAAAAAAAAAGTTCATTAATTATGGTTATATCATATTATCTATATTTAATAATGATAGAATACCATATTAAAACAATTTAAAGTATGCTAACAGTATGATTTGTTGATTTTTTTGTTCTTGTTTGTTGTTTTTAAACCTTTCACCACACAATGTCCACAATCTGTGCGAAAAGGATGTCAGAGGAAGTTGCTTATGTTCAACAGCTTCCCAAAATAACTTCAAAAAAAATCCCAAACCTTCAAAGCAAACCAGCTGATTTGCGATGTTATCTTTCACACACAGTTTCCCAAATCAGCATGCTCCTGAGAAATTTGGAAAAAAATTAGAAAAGGAGATTTTAAAGTTACAGATTTGACACTTTCCTTTTCATGGAGTATCTTTGAATTAATATCAAAGTTTAACATATCCTGTACCTACTTTTGCTTTGGTATTTAACTCAGCTTTTTGGAACCATACCTGAAACCCTCTTGCACTTGAACAACTTATATACGTCTTAAATAATCCTCCTATTTTCTCCAAGTAGAATTCCAATACCTGTCGTTCCATACACAAAAATACATGAATCTGTGTGTAAGTGTTTAGGTCTCTTGCAGAAAATGTATGTTTCTTGAGCTGGATGTTCATATCCAAGGCAAGTAGGCAATCTCTAGCACATCTGGAGGGAATGAGGCAATGCTAGGCTGATAGCGGCAATGCTAGGCTATAGCTCCATAGACCTATAAGGAACCTGAATTCAGTCAGCACCTATGCCTTGATCTTGAATCATCCCTATTCTAGGTAGAGCTTTTAGACATCCATTTCCCTCTATGCTCTACGTCTAGAGACAAAAGTATGAGTCATAAACTCTGCTCAGGTTCTTAGAAAATGCCCCACAATCAGGGCGTTTATTAGAGCATGCTGGCAGTTGCAAATCCTCTCAAGGAACAGCATCCATAGTCAATTTATTCAAAAGACAAGCCACCAGAGAAGAGTTTATCTTTATATGTAATCATAGTGATTAAAGCACTCACCTAGAAAATAAGAGATGCAGATCTGACATCTGCTGACATCTGAGAGGAATTAAAACATATATTTGCACAGCCTACCTAACAGACCCATCAACCAGGCTGCAAACAGTCATTGGAAGAAAGAAAAGTAAGTAAAAGGAAACTGATGACTGGTTTGGTAAAAAGAATAACAGGTCCATATTTTCCCAAGCAGTTAGCAAAGCTTGTCAACTACACAATGTTTAGCCAGTTTAGTCTGTTAGTCTATCACAAATGAGTGCATGACTACAACTCTACTTAAAAAGGCATGTGTATAGCACCTATATTAAGAGAACTGGAGCTCTCCATTTCAAACTAATAAAGTAATTTTTGCAATCTTCCTAAAGTACCTAACCCCTAGACATGGGCAGAAGTGAGAATGGACATTTCCTTTTCACTATAAATAATACCCTGCTAAGTTTGCAGGATATTTCAGTCCTTTCCCCAGTATCTTTCAGTACCTGGTACCTTCAGTACCTTTCACCAGTATCACTTCTGCCATTTTTTTCTGCAGATATCCCTGAAACCTTTCACCAGTATCACTTCCGCCATTTTTTTCTGCAGATATCCCTGAAAACTTTGTTAGCTAAACATAGATTCCTGGATCTCTCTGTCCGGATGAGACAACTACTTTTTAAATTTTGCAAATTTGAATTTAAGATGCCACCTTAATCTTCCTGGCACTCCATGAAGTAAGTTAAAAAAATTAGTTGCTTCTATAATATACTTCTTATGATAGTCTCAGGAATTATAAGTTGGATCCTAATGTACAGAGCACTTCACTTCACTTAGTCTAACTTTCAAGATCAGGGAACACCTGAAGATGAGATTTTGCCCTGTGTTACAATCCTTACGTTAGCCCTTTAGAATGCCCTTATTAGTTCCAGCTTTACTTAAGGTAGTTCAGATAAACACAGCACAGGAATATTTCTTTAGCCAAATAGAAAAACTTCCCCTTGAAAGCTCTGCAACACATTGGTGCACTGACAAGTACTCTGCTTTATCAGCCACACACCTATCAAGATGGAAATCTTTTCCCTGCCGTGACAAATAAGCAGTCCACTTATCTAAGATTAACTAGAGAGCCCATACGTTCTTAATCTGGTCAGTGTTGACTTTTCTCACTTTTTAACACCTAAAACTTTCCCTGACCCTGGCAGCAGACCCTCCTTCTGAATAGCTTTCAGAGACACGAATAAGTGACTGAAACTCTTGCTCACTTTGGTCCCAAGAAATTTTCACTGTTCTTTATGATGTGTTGCTGCTGTCCGCTAGAAGCATCATACAGTGGAGGGAGAGAGGGTAGTCTAAAATAGTCTCTGTCCTACTGACATATTTAGTCATGATACATGAAGGCAACGGAAATATGCAGATCCACAGCAATTTCAAAAAAAAAGAAAGTCTAAAATCTGGAGATTTCATAATGAAGAAAATACGAAGGTGTCATTCTCAATCTGAAATTTTGCAGGGATCTCCACCATAAGCTGACTCACCCAGACAGATACTTTTAAGATGCTGACTGGGTTCTCTAGTGGTTTGCAGTCAAGATCAGTTGGGGCAGTCTTCAGCTACACGCGTCTGGAGTGATGAACAGCCAGAGCAGCAACTTTCCTTCTTCTGTTTCAGGAAATCACTGATCACTCCCCTGGTTTTCTGTCTGCTTCTACAACCACCACAGACACTGCTTTCCATTACCACAAAACCAAACATTGTCCTATTGATGGCTGATGACCTTGGCATAGGAGACATAGGTTGCTATGGGAATGATACTATCAGGTAAGGAAATAGAACATGGTAGTAAACAACGTTTGTTATTTTTTTAGTGTAAGACTGATATCTTCTGTCAATTCGCAGCCATTTAGCCCACCTTCAAGTTCATTTAATGGAAAAGTAGGGGGCTTTCTAATGCGTGCCTCTAAGAGTAAGTGCACAGTACTGTCAGGATTATCTAAAATGATAGAGGTCAATCCCAGGGTCAGATCTGCTCTCCAGAGCTGTTTTAATTGAGAATATGTTCTTAGTTCTTAGGTATTCCTTAATTGTTGGAAAATGCTGAACACCTGCGCACACCTGAATAGAGGAAAATTATTTCCTCCTTCCACATTTAACTTTTCCTCATTTAACTCTGTTATGTATTATTTTCCAAGCACTATGTCAAAATTCATTATAAATCACTACAATGAGCTATGTTACTAGGAAAAAAAGAAAAAGTAGGAAAAACAGGAATATAGGGCCTGAAGTACAGAGTCATCTTCAAATAGAAGAGATTTCCCCAAATAAATCTAAGTCTGTTATTCCTCGTCGCTTTCCCCTTGAAAGCCCTCGGAATGACGTCTGATAATGTTGGTTGTGTTTTCAGGACCCCAAATATCGACCGTCTGGCAAAGGAAGGCGTGAAACTGACCCAGCACATTGCGGCGGCTCCGCTTTGCACCCCCAGCAGAGCAGCTTTCCTCACTGGCAGATATCCCCTCCGATCAGGTTGGCCTTGGACAGCCTTTAAACCTAAAAGTAGCCTTTAAAGCAGGAGCTTTACTGCCAGAGGGAAGGATCTCATACAACTGGCCCCAAAGAAAGGAGGGTGTGCAAATAGAAGGGGTAGCGGGGACATGCCGTCCCTCACCAAGTACACGCACGAGGCCCCAGGTACATCTGTGTGTGTGGGGCAGTGAGTGGACCTGGGGGGAAGCGAGGAGGAGCAGAACCCGCTCTGCAGAGCAGCTTGCTGCCTTCCAGCTAGCAGCTCCCGTCGCATTTTGGTGCTCAATTGTACAGACTGCAACAAGAACGGAGTTAGTACAAGTTGTTACATTAAAAAAAATCACTCAGAATATGAATAGCAACACATTTCTGAAACACTGTTTTATAAATTTCTGTAATTGGTGACTCCTTCTCAGATATTAGAAATATCTTTTACCTTGCAGGTAAGACAGGACAGATATAAGCAGAATTACATCCAGCAGAGTGAGTGGTTAACGTGAAAGTTTTTGTTAGCTATGTATAAGAAGTCATTTGTCCTTCAAAATAACGCTTTGGCAGCTGTATTATTTTTCCAGGTTCTATTTTTGAAGAAAAAAATATCCTGTCAAACTGCATTCCTGAGATGAAGAGATAAGAAAAACGAATGACTTTACATGTCTTTAACAGCAACTCTCTGACACTTGTTCTATTGCAAATGATGCTCAGTGACTTCATTCCCAAGGCATTTTGAAGCTGTCACATCATCCTACTTTATTTCTGACAGCTCCCACTGAGGCAGCTGTAAAATGTACACAAGCATTGATACACTCTGTCTCCCACTGTAACAACAGGCTCGGATACATTTAACACTTCCACGGAAGACTGAGATCCTAACCCTAGTTTAGAGACAGATTGTGTTTCACATTGTGTGATTTGGTGGGGTTATACCAGTATATAATGACAAATATGCAAGTATGCCAGTATATAATGACAAATACCATGGTATAAACTACAGGTGGGGAGAAGGGCACTAAATATCTGCTCTGTGTTTTTCAGGAGTCAGATCCCTACCGCATCACCATGCATGGAGGTTTTGAGAGTCTTTTGGATCATAGGGAAGTTGAAGAATTAGGCCAACATAAGGCTGAAACCTCTTCCCTAACATCACAATCACACCAGATCAGTGCAGTCCATACAGCCTGGATGCCACTGGAACACACAAAAGCTTCTATACAGCAGTGCCATTCAAAGATGTATAAATATTATATAACTGAAAGGTGTAACTTTCTCATTGTTTTCCAGTGTCATAGATTAATTTACCTGAAGAAACAGCATTAGGATTAAAAAAAAAAAAGTAGTAATCAACAAAACCAGGAAACACGGAAATACATCTACTAAAAATTCTACTGGTTATACTCATTAAGTTTTTTTATTATTATTATATTTTACAGGCATGGATGCTATAAACAATTACCGTGTTATTTTCTGGAATGGTGGCTCAGGAGGGCTCCCTCCAAATGAAACCACTTTTGCCAAAATATTGCAGCAACAGGGCTACAGCACAGGACTAATAGGTATGGAGAAATTCCTGAAGATGGCCCAGAATTAGTTCACTCAGAGCATTTGGTTTAGGAGGCACCTCGTCATACCTCACTTACTTATAGTGCTTTTCTTTCCTGATCAAAGAATGTCCTGTAAGGAGAAATCCTGAACAAAAATAATTCCTCTTTAGTGTTTGCTAAAGAGAATAATCTTTACCTTCAACCTGCTTCAAAACATAGCTGTGATTGTTAAAAACATCATAGCCAATATGTTGCTAAAAATATTTATTAAGTGATATTCTACTAAAAGAATATGAAAATTGTTCCAGTGCTACCTTCAAAAAGATCAAATACAGGAGTTCTACTTAAATGTGCATCTTCATGCTTTTTACAGTTCAGAAATGGCTCACAAATTGTACAAGAGAGAATGGCTGCTATTTTTAAAAAAAACAGGTTATAATACCAAATGATTTGGCCATTTAAAAACAGAAACAGCATAATTACTTCTTCTTACTAAAAGTGTCGCTATAGCTGGCCTCAAAGCAGCCAACCCCCCCAAAAAAGCCTCCTTCAGAAAGAGCTGTGTTTTACATCATATTTTACAGGACACTCTTTAATACAGCTGTAACTTTCAGTCATGATCCAATATCAAATAATTATCTTAGTTATGTCAAAAAGTATCACAC